ATAGAATACTTTTTAGGTTGAAAGGGACCCTCATGAACTTTCCTCTTTTGCTTTTATTAGACAGAAACTTGGGACTCTTGGGTATATTGAAGTATCAAGCAGTAAAAAGACATGAAAAAGCATTAGTGATTCTGAAACTTCAGTGAGCTGCTGCTCATTTAGGTAGTCCCTGCCAGTCCTAAGGGCTCGCTGCCAGCTTTGTGGGGCCCAAGCAACCCTTATGGGCTCCTGGGCAGGAGGTGCTGATGTTCAGGGCAACTCTGGCTTTGTCTTGTAAGACAACAGCCAAATAATGCAGCACCTGAGTGAAAAAACAGTTCTCCGCTTTGAAGTAAGGAGCTTTGTGATAGTTGTACACATATGGAGCTTCTTGCTCAGCTCTCATTTTACTTACTATTTTTTTTAACTCCTAGTGAAAGCTTAATTTATTATTTAAATGAATGCAATTCCAGAGTACAAATAAAAAAATAAACATCTTATTTCTTTTCATTTGCAAAAGAGCCTGGTAAGATGCTTTACTTCTGTTAAAAAAAAAAATAATCACATTATAACATTGCAACCACGTATTGTACTCTTCGCTGGGTAAAAAACTGGCTGGCTGGATGAGCCCAGAGGGTTGTGGTGAATGTAGTTAAATCCAGTTGGCAGCGGGTCACAAGTGGTGTTCCCCAGGGCTCAGTATTGGCGCCAGTTCTGTTTAATATCTTTATTAATGATCTGGATGAGGGGATCGAGTGCACCCTCAGCAAGTTTGTAGACGACACCAAGTTGGGAGTCAGGGTCGATCTGCTTGAGGGTAGGGAGGCTCTACAAAGAGATCTGGACAGGCTGGATCAATGGGCTGAGGCCAACTGTATGAAGTTCAACAAGGCCAAGTGCCGGGTCCTGCACTTGGGTCACAGCAACCCCATGCAGCGCTGCAGGCTTGGGGCAGAGTGGCTGGAAAGCTGCCCAGCAGAGAAAGACCTGGGTGTGCTGGTTGACAGCTGGCTCGATATGAGCCAGCAGTGTGCCCAGGTGGCCAAGAAGGCCAACGGCATCCTGGCCTGTATCAGAAATAGCGTGGCCAGCAGGAGCAGGGAGGTGATTGTTCCCCTGTACTCAGCACTGGTGAGGCCGCACCTCGAGTACTGTGTTCAGTTTTGGGCCCCTCGCTACAGGAAAGACATGGAGGTGCTGGAGCGTGTCCAGAGAAGGGCAACCAAGTTGGTGAGGGGCCTGGAGCACAAGTCTTATGAGGAGCGGCTGAGGGAACTGGGGCTGTTTAGTCTGGAGAAGAGGAGGCTGAGGGGAGACCTTATCGCTCTCTACAACTACCTGAAGGGGGGTTGTAGTGAGGTGGGTGCTGGTCTCTTCTGCCAGGTGGCTGGAGATAGGACGAGAGGAAATGGCCTCAAGTTGCGGCAAGGGAGATTTAGGTTAGATATTAGGAAAAATTTTTTTACTGAGAGGGTTGTCAAACGTTGGAATGGGCTGCCCAGGGAAGTGGTTGAGTCACCATCCCTGGAGATATTAAAAAAGCGAGTGGACAGGGTACTTCAGGACATGGTTTAGTGGGCATGGTTTATGGTTGGACTCGATGATCTTGAAGGTCTTTTCCAATGTAAATGATTCTATGATTCTATTTTTTTGATTAAAGAAGTTAATTCAAAAAAGCAATTCAGTTGCTCTTTAAGCTGACATAGTGTTATAACAATTACTTAAAGAACAGCGAATCTTCCCCACACCACATAATCAATGTTGCCTTGATTACAAGGAAGTTGCTTAGTTTGGCATTGACAGTTAATGGCTTACTGGCAGCTCTTGGTTAATTATTAATGCAGACATAATAATGCTTATTCCTTAACTAATCTTCTAAACAATACAATTATCAAAGGAATTATTCCTGCTGAAAACTCAGTGTCACGCCACAGTCTAGATCAAAATTTTTACACCTCAAAGTGTGGCTTTTTGCTTGTAGGAAAACTAATACAATGGTTTTTGATAATTTTTCCAATTATATTTTAAACAAGGACATCTTTTTACAGTTCTGCATTTCTTTAATTGTGTATCATCTTACCTAAAGCAGGATGTACCTTCACTTTTCAGGTCCCCAAAATCTCCCAAATCCACTGAAAGTTTGTGGCTGTCCCTTTCAGCTTTGGATGAGCTGTTGCCGCTCTGTTCCTCCCAGCAAGGCAGAGCCACTGCCAACAGTGGGGCTGCACCCAAACATTGGTGCAGCTTGGAAAAGCAACACAGTAGGTTTCCTGAAGGAGTTTAAGGTTCAGTTTATTGGCCAACATTTCTTTTAATCACTCTCTTTTCAATAAGCTGCCTCTGTGGGATAAGGCTTTTCTCTCTCCACACTGATGGCAAGGCTAGAGTCAAGGTAACAGAAAGCCAATCAACAGTTCATAACTGGTTCACACAGTAGAAGCTTCAAAGATGTGCAGTGCTTTATGAACATTTTGCTGTCCAGGTGCTTTATGCTAAGGCTGTACATTTTGATCCTCTAGTCACTTGAGTCAGCCCCACCAGCTAGCAGGTAGGAGCTCCTCCATTTGTCAGAAAAGGTTTATTTAGCCATTTTCTTTGAGTAAACTTAGAACTTATCAGAGGAGCCTTTTACATACACCTCTGCCCTCATCCATTCTTCACAAAGCTGCAAGGGACTGTTTGTGCAATACAGTGGGCAGTGCTGAATTGTAATATTAAACTGTGATTTGGGCATATGAAAGAAAACCCCTTGATATTCCTCCTGGCCTGCAAAACTCCTGCTGGGAGGTTGGTTTCATGATTAATTTATGCCAGCATTATCCTTATTTTAGTGATGCTATCAGTGAAATGCTGCCCATAGCTATCAGGCAAATGAAAGAATTTCAATGTATAAAGCCCAAATCTATTTGAAAAGTCACTGTTTTGGGTGCAGGCTGACAGCAGCAGAGGCCAGCAGCTCTTTCTTTATGCCCAAATTTATTTCCTTTTTCTCTGGACACACGTCTTGCCACAGATCACTTGTCAAGCGATGGCATCTGCACTAGGCAACTATTTAAAATCATTCAGTGCTTAGACCCACTGATGTCTTACGCATACAAGCCATCTCTCTTTTACCTTTATTACCAGCAATTTGCACTGGTGACAGCTCCCGTTAGGTAGCTGAGAAGCTTTTTGTTCTTGTCTTTGTATGTGTTTTCAGTCTAACAAGAGAGAAATGCATTGTTTACAGGCCCTAGGTATGAACCACTAACATATAAAGAGGCAGCACGTTCTCAACAATTGACATTTTCTTCTGTCTTGGAATTATTTCCTCTTTATGGTCAAGACGCAGACCACGATGGCTAAACCTTGCAGCCCCCCCCAAACTGTGCAATCACAGTACTGTCTGAGGAAGCTGGTTGTGGTTAGCCAGGAGCTGGGGTTTGCACACTGAACTCTGAGAAAAAGGAGGCCTCTTTTCTTTCTTTTAAATATTTATTTGACTTGTGATTTCCAAGTACCTGTCCAGAAATTCAGAATGCTGTAATGGACACTCTGAAAGTATTTGACCAGCAACTCGCGACTACCTGCCAATGGTCCTGTCTCCGATGCTGGGCAGAAAGGGCATCACTGCGAAAAATGGAGCTGTTGGGCCAAGAAAACACACTCAGACACATTTTCTCTGGCTGCATGAGGAAGTTTAGATGGAAAAAAAGAAAATAAAGCACAGGGAAAGGCATTAAGGGCTATTAAGCACATTGGTAGAAGCTCTGATGTTAAAAAAAAAAAAAATCAGGGAAGGATACAATGGGAAAAGAGCATAGTCCAGCCACATTGTTCTTCCATGCCTCCTGCAAGCATCCGCTGCCAGCACTGCTGGACAAGATGCTGTGTGGCACAGCCCTTCAGCACCACACCACCTTCCTCCTAACACGGACTCACCTCTCGTCTGTAAACTGTCCAAGGTGGGAGAGATGCATGCTTCCTGCAGTATTTCAGAAGCATCTTAACTGTTATTTTATAGCTGAAAAAAAAAAAAAATTAGAGCTGATCTTTCATTAATACTTCGTGGGGACAGCATGAGCGCAATCTTCCTTGCATTGCTGAAAAGGCCGTGCTGGTATTCCAGGTTTCACTTGCTATCTAAATTTCTTAAGATGAAAGCCACAAAATGACTTGTCTGGCTTGGACAGGTCCATAGCCACCCAAGTGCAGCTGTGTGCCCAGGAACTGACTCCCAACAGCCATTAGGTGACTGACAAGAGCCAGCTCACAAAATACCACCGCAGAAGGTGAAGGTGATGGCTGAAGCCCTGCTGTTCTGCAAGGCCAGAGCTGCAGTTAGGCTGTCTCCGATTCCTGCACCTCATTCTTTCCATATTCCAGACTTAGGCTTGCTCAGACCTTAACTACCACGGAGAACAACTGCAGGAATTACAAGTGCAGACTGACAGACCTTTTGGGTGGAATAATTCAATGACTGGAACACTTCAATGCATATTGAATGAGTGAATCAGCTAATCATTTTAATGCAAAACTCTCTTTTCCTTTCTTATCCCTTTCTTTTCCACACTGGCTATATCCAAAGAGAGACGAAGTTAAGGATTACAGGAGGGTCAGCCATGGGAGTAGAAGGTTTGATCCTGCAAACTCCAAACGGAAGCTCTTGTGTTGGCGTGATCAGTGCTGCAACTAACGTATCATTGCTGGAACAGTCCCTTTCATGAACTGTCAGTTTTTTCTTTATCCTTTAAAAAAACGTCAAATTGAAGATGTTAATAGACACGTAAATACTGTAAAACTGAATTAACAGTACTTTAAAGCAGCATTAATCTCACAGAACATGTTCGATATCTTTCCGTACCACATTGCCATTGGGTGACTAGCACAATCTATTAAAATAATCCTAAATTGCTCCTTGAAGACTATGCTAGGTAATTTTACAAGTACAGAAAATTACTCAACAAAGAGAAAATAACAAGCACGCTGAAATACTAAAATACTTCTTAAAGACTAGGATACAGAATGAAGACAAGCTTTCCTTATTAAACTTTTTATTAAAATGGAGCTATTTTTACATATTTAAAATACTTTATATCCAAATTATGCAATATTTATGAAAACAATTGTATGCAAACACTTGCATAAAAATATGTAAAATCACAGCTAAGCAATATAAAGCAATATATAGCATGTTCCAAAATGTATTTCAGGACTAGAATACCTGAGTTTTCAATAAGCTGGTTTCCTGCATTTCACTGATTTTTAACAGTTAAATTTAATAATGAATCTGATCTTGTATAAAGCACTTCTTTGGTTGGGAGAAACTGCATGGAAAAGGCAGAGACTGAGCAGAGATATTAGTCAAGGCTTATCTTCAGAATCTTCTTCCACGTGAAGATCCACTGTCTGAGATGCTAGGAAGGACTCCCATGTAGCAAGGCACTTAAAAAAACAACAGATACATATGAATATAGCAGATAGATTTCTGTAAAACTGGTAGCCAAGGAGAAAAAGAAGAAAAAAAAAATAGCAGAATACATACACGTTGTCACAAGCTGCTTTTGTGGGGCTATGGTAAGAGCAAAATATGGTTTCCTAGGCAGCTCAGTGATATGCAAAATGTTAGCTAACATGCTGAGTGAGCTGTAAAGGTCACTTTTACATAATGACAAGTGCACAGTATGAGCATCGTAATTGTATCTGTTAGCATGGAAGATGCTAACATTAATTATGCTCTTCTTTAATCTCTCCCTTTAGTTATAGGCAAAGATCTCTTCCAAATAGAAAGCACACTGTCAGGCGCAGTTCCCTTGTAATCTCTGTGGATTCCTACTGGATACCCAATTTTCCTTCCAAGTTAAATTAAAACAGTTTTTTTCTAAATACACAGAGAATTCATTTTTCCTCTGAGTAATGGGAAAGAAATGGGACCAGAAAGGCAGGGGGTGAGGGGGTGGAGAAATTGTCATCCTTAGAACAAGTGGCATTTCTCTTCTCATGGAAAAACGTATTTATAATTGTACAAACTAATTTTTTTTATTTGAAGCACCAATACTGTAGGCAGTAAAATAAAAAAAAAAAAAATAATCCCCAGATTACTTGGGTTCAGTTTGGCTTAAATGAATGTTGGCAGCTTGGCAAGCCATTAGAAATCATAGATTACTTTTGAGAGTCGTGGCAAGGCTATCACTAGGTAAGCCTGGTGCATGTTACCCAAAGTACCAGGTTCATACTATTTCAAGTCTGTCATTAGAACAGGGCAGGCAAATTCATGCAATAATTTTATTGTCTTGATGCTATTGAAAAAAACCCTTGGAATGCAAATGTTTTAATAGAATTTTGACTTATACCTATTGCTTTTGACAGTGCAGCTTATTTACTACTTACTGTATACAGTTTTTTTCATGAAGAATCTGAAATATTCACAATAAATGTCTTCTGAAATTTCTCAGGAAACACCTTCTTTAATACTAAAACCTAGACAGCATACTCCATTTATCTGAACTTTACATCAAATCAGCACCCTGAAACCAGCATCATTTCCTAAGTGAAAACTTTTGCCATAAGCTGTTCAAGCCACAGTAATTTGCTATGCCCAGCTACAATGAAATATCTAGCATCCATCTATCATTACTTAGGAGACATGGAAAATATGCTAGCATTCATGCTGCTTGTATTTACAGCCACCTAAGTCTGTCTTATTAGACATTTCTAGTGAAGGACTTACAAAGTCTGCCATTAATATGTAGATTTAATCATATTACATTAAAGAGCCCAGTTCCTGGTATTACTGCATATCTATGTGCAAGCAGATGAGTGGGAGGATCTGATAGTCACAAATAATGTTGAAATATAAGCTCAAAGAGCAAATGAAGAAGACAGACAGGTTGACTGGAGTTGGGGGAATTCATGATGACACAAGGATGCAGAACCAGGGATACACATAAAATTATGGGTGACAAAAATAAGACAAAGCAAACAAAAGTCAGCAGTGATTATGTCTCTGAAGACATAAAAAAGTCGAAGACATGGATCTGCAAGATAATGAGAGAGGTTAAAACAGCCGACTGACCTAAGAGATCACAAAGAAAAAAGTATGCGGGAGCTTATTTCTGCATAGGTTTTCGGTTGTTATCAGGCATGTTGGAGACCATTCCCCTTATTCTTATATTGTCTCCTAGACTATGGAAACCATGAATCTACTGGCCCAATCTTTCTTTTCTGATCTTGCTGGCAAAATCCCCAACTAACTTCTGCTGCTTTTGCACACAACATTATGCTACTGTTCAGAGCATATATAAGATTTGAATTACTGTGAACAGAGAGGAAATAACAGTGTAAGAGTCATGTAGAAATCTGTTTTGTTCATTGACTTCTTGGAGAAATGTTATTTTGAAATGGTAAATATAAAATCAGGGAGAAACAGTGAAAATAGTGCTAGCATGAACAGTGATCTGCAAGAAGTGCTGCAAACTGATTTCTGACTTAAAAGGTCTTTTTGACCTTTTGTATAAAGCCTTTAAGGTTTGATCATTCGATTCTCCCCTACTTCATGTGACACTGTGGCAGCTGAGTCTGTCTGAGATGCTTGAGCTGGAAGGTGGCATCTTGGTTTTAAAATGTCAATGAGGCAGCTGCTAGCAGTATGTTTCATTGTGGCACTCAGACTCAGATTTCTGTTTGCTAGAGCCCAGCCTGGATGACCATCCTAGAAAGCTGCAAGGCACATTTGTTTTCCTAGGCTTTTTCTAGGCATGGGACAAGAAGTGATCACTGTTTCTTGAAGAGTCTTGTGTTCGCAATGACTGACTTTTATTTCTGAACCACAGTTTAATTCATATCACGCAACTCCATGTTTTGACATTCTGTAATTTTCATAATGTGAATTAAAATACATATATCAGCACTGGCTGGAATGTAAAAATGGCTGTTATCTTTGCAACACTGAGCTAAACTGCACGTGTTAAAATGCAGTTACAATATGTTGCTTAACCAGATAGATACAATCTACTGAAGTCTTTCCAGGCAAAGACGCAAACCATTTTTTTTCAGTTACACAAGTTATTCAGTTTTTCATTTATGCATTTATATAATCAAAACACATTTTCCAAAATGTAAGAGCAATGGTGGCTCATTTCACTGTCAGACATCACAGTGCCGCTAAAGCTGACAGGTTTTATAATTAACCATACCAAAACAAAACTAGGTCTCTGTGCCTTAGGCTCAAGCTTTTTATATTGTGAGGCATGAACTGCATAAACTACATTTTGTTAGTGATGTATACTTTGACGTTAAAACAGAATGATTTTACTTCATTCTCCTGGGAGGTTGAAAACACAGATCTAAATAGAGGATCAGCCAGCTTTCGCAAAGAGAGAAAGGCAAAAAAAAAAGAAAAACCAAACCCAGGAAATTAAATGTGCATGCATAGAATTGAAATTTATAATCCAATTACTTGTAAAAGCCTGGCAGAAGACATAAAAAAGCCTAAATACACAAAATGAAATAGCAAGAGCTTAAATAAGGCTACTTTACCAAAAATATTCTGATTACTACTGCAGGTCATACATCTATTCTACAACATCATTTTTAGAAAAAACAGCAAAAAGGTTTTCATAGAGTACAATTGCATATCTAACTAAAAAGGAGATACAAAAATAGAACGTGTAGTAGGGATGATAATAGAAGCAGTGTGTCACATGCCATGTGTGTTTCTGTTCCAGTTCCCTGTTTTCCATGGTTGACACCTTAAAAATATCATTTATGATGGCATTTTCTGAAGTAGAATTTAAAAATGGTCTTCTGTGTGTCTGAGAGAGAGACAAAAAATACTTTCATAGTTTCTGGGTGCAAGGAAACAAAAACTAGAGTGCGTAGAAATAGTGATTCCCACTATAAAAAAAAAGTCTTCCTAAAAGTATTTAGAAGAAATTTTTATGGTTGCAGTGAATGAGGGTTGAAAGATGGATCCTGGCTTCGAAGCGACATTCACAGAGACAAACTGGCTCAGCCATGTGGGAGCTTTTGAAAATCACATGAAGTTTGTTAGCTAAATTCTCGGGCATTGCTAAGGTAGGACATGATCAACATGCATAAGCAGCTAACTTTTTGCTACGCGAGCAAATGGCTAGTCAAATGCATCACTACAGAGGCCTCTAGGGCAAACAACAAATCTCATCTATTTTTCTACAGCTTTTACTAGATGGAGAGGTACATAAGGGCTCTGGAGTTAGAGAGAAGTTGCTGTAACGGGGAAGGAGTATTGTTTTGCCCTAAAGAATCTTTTGGATAATTTTATGCCTGTACAACAGTGTAGGTCACAGAAATAAACTAAATTATGCTTGAAATAGTTAAGAAAATCAGGAAATTATTTATATTTTTGGAAAAGAGTAAGCTGTGTCAATACCAACAAGAATCTCACTATATCAAAGATAACTTTAGCTTTTTATCTGATTAAGCTGCAAAGGTTTAACAGAATTAGGCTGACATGAGAAAAATAAAATTAGAGGCTACGCTTTAAAACAAAGGCTTATCCATGCACATGAAAAAACATGTTCTTTCAATGCCAAAACTAATTAAATATCACTCTGCATTATGAAAAAGCCCCCAATCTTCCTGCATCTACTAATTGCCTCATGAGCAGTGGAAAAGCAAACTCTGCTATATTTGCTGCATTTATAATGTCTAACTAGTCTTTGGATCGGGCTGAAAAATCTAGCCACTTATTCCAGTGTTTTTTCTGAATAGAATAGGTTAACAAAGTTCTTTGCTGAGAAAAATTAAAGTGTTTCTTTTTCTTTGATGCTATTAATATTCTAGAGACTATCATAAACACATGAGAAAAACAAAAGGAAAAACTGAGTAAATGCTATTGCTCTTTGAAGCCAGAGTTCAACATTGCCTGGTTTGGTTTTGCTAATTTGTACCAGGAATACTTCAGACATGTTAGCTAAATAATACCACCACCACCAATAACTTTGTATCTTGTTTTGGTTTTAGTAATTGTGCATCTTTAGGGCTCTGCAGAATATCTATATCCAACTTAATGAAAATACTCCTGCTGACAATCAGCTTTCTCAGCTGTAAGCTCCACCCTGTGGACAGTTTCTGATTTCAACTGTTGGGAGATACCTCTTCTGGACTAAGGTGTGCTATTTCAGACAATAGCGTCACATCTAAGGCATGGGGAAAAGGAATAAAATAAATAGTATGGTGTTTAACACATGCTTCGGTCAAGAACTTTTCTCTGTAAGGCAAACAAATCAATAGGAGTAAAGTTCTGAATTTTTTAAAATTAAAACCTTTTCATATTGTTTCAGAAAATCCTCCCTGTTTTAGCAATGTACTTACAGTCATTATGAATACAGGATATTATTGGCTTTAAGCCTTTGTGGAATACAGAGACTTAAGCATGTATTCAACTCTTTTCCAGAAGCACGGAAAAGGAAGTAGAGAACTCTATGAATGCCTGAGACCAGCTACAGGAATACCAAATGATTGGTCAGTCATGGTAATTCTTGACTACTAAATGACATTATGTTTAAATGTATTATAACATAGCTTGTACACTATCACAGGAAAGCCTTCATTCTCATAGGCCTGAATAGGAGCACCCTGTAAATTTGCAACACTGGGCTTTAATTACTGTCTTTATTAGCACAGCATTGAGACACACAAAGAGATTGGTGATTCCACAGCTGTAGAAACAAAGGAACACTTCTTATTCAAGTATATTAAATGTACATAGTCAATAAACTGGAAGGCTACAGAAATACCTCTACTTGTTCTGAATTAGTAAATCCAGAAAAATATAATTACAGGTAACACTTCAAAGTAACGTGAACATTAATTCAGCTTAAGGGAGACATACTCTTATGCTAGCGAAGTGATGCTTGACAAGTTGACAGCAGAATCCCTAGGCGACTAAAATTAAGGAAAAATCCAAACATGGTAAGGTCATACTCTTTCCCCATATTGTGACAAAGAGGAAATAACATTTTAGAAATTGTAGTGCACCTTGACACACTGCTATGTTGTACTTCATCACACTGGCTTTAGTTTTATACAGTCCTGAAGGTCTAGATTCTCTACTGCAAAAGCCACCAGAAAACATGAGATGTCTGTCTCTTGTTACTCTGTAGTTCTCAGAAATTTAAGGGATGCAGAGAACGGCCACTAACAGGAATGACTCCTGGTTAGGTTGTGTGCCTGGGAAACTAAGTCAGCAAGTCTGGGGAATAATGAGGAGCACAGTGAAATGCTGCTGTAGAGAAGGGAATGGGACACTGCTTGTGGAGGGTCAAGAATAGGAGTTTAACTGGGGGGAGAAAAAAAGCTGTGGAAAGGAGGAGAAGCAGGTAGTGACTAAGTTAGAAAGCAGATGATTCCTCATAGGAGATGGACAGAAGAGCTGGGCAAATGAGTCATATCCATGGCATCCATGGTGCCTGGGAGCATGCACAGAACATGCTTTGGGAAAAAATAAAGGCAAGAAATAAGATGAGGGATGCTACAGCAAGAAAAGACTTAGTAAGCATCAAATGGTGCATCAAAACCATGAACACGTAGTTTAACTTCGGACATGTGAGAGAACGTTAATGATGCAAGTAATGACTGAACAAGTGAAAAACATTGTAACAGGCACTGTGTTTGTGCATGAGTTTAATGAGTGAGACTCAAACTATTATCTTTAGGGAGGATTTTGTTTTCTACTGAAAGCATAAAAATCATATTTTGATTCTCAGACTTCTGAGATTCCCTTCCTGAAGTTTCACTTCCAAACAGCGAAAGCAGATGGCAGGGCTTCTTTTTCTGCTGTTTTCAGGAGTACATTACATACCTGTAGTTTGTAATGTATGGGCCACTGACAGTAATCACCTCTCCAATAATAAACCATCAACATTAACCACAGGTCTCAAATAAACATGCATATTTTAGATCAAAACTCCCAATCTCAATTTTATCAAATTATCTTGAATGTCAGGACTAAGATAATGATTTTCTGATAAAACATAAAAAAATGGTAAGCCCTCACTTTACAAAAAAGGAGTGATACCGTTAGCACAATGTTTTCTGTTATTGCAACTGCTGCAGTAAGATTAGGTGGGTTTTCTTCTAAAATCTAGCTCTACTGAGATATAACAGCAAAATCATTTTATGCAGATTTCTACATTCATGAAAAGCATCAACAAAGAATAATGTCTCATTATAAACCAATTTGTCCAGTATTCCAGAGGCTATTTAAGAAGAACCACTGACAGTTACAGAGATAGCAGAACCATTTTCTGCAGTTTGTGACTTAATGATAGTAATTTCATGTACAGTACGAGCTTTGGCATTCTGAATTAAAATTCTAGTTCAGCAAAAAGCACTTCTAGACAGCAAAAAGAACCAAAGCATTATTTTTGTGGTTTAATTTAGCTAATCATTCATTAACAAAATATTCCAATATATTTAGCATCATTTTAACATACGTATTGCTGATAGAGAAGTCAGAGATCATCAGTAACTGAAGAAAAAGTGAGAGGTTGCCAAAAGTTGCTGCCACATTTCAGAAAATATTTTGATCTTAATATGTAACAACAGATTGTCAATGTCCATGTATCTCACAGCCTGTATGTTAATTAATTAGACTTGATGATCAAGAGCTCTGTCTTTTCAATTATGTTTTAACAATATGATTTGTAAAATTAGGACACTGTCATTGGCTAACGGAGAACCCATAAAAAGTTCAGGATTGGAAATTACAGAGATCAACATATATCTGTGAAAATAACTAATTTATGATTAATAGATGGCTTAGTGTATTCCAATTTTTTTTTCCCCCAAATAAGGAGAAATTCTTTAGAAAAATTAAAGACATCTGGGATATTTTCAAAATGTGCACTTCAATCAACAACGTTTTCCCCATGAAGAAACTTCACAGAATGCTTAACATATTTAGTTATATGTTTTCAAGTTCTCTTTCTTAGTATATATTCTTGTAAAAGGGAACTCTTACCAAGAATATTAACCATGGCATTTGAGTTGGAAATAAAAATCTAATTTCAACCACTTTTCTTTCTTTCTGAAGGAGTAAGTTTCAATTATAAAAAGATTTAATTCATTAATTGTATACACTTGCAGCATTTTTTTTGAAGTGCAATAAGCTTTTCATATTGACTCCTCAAAATTGTATTGTTCTTCTTTATCCTTGTAAAGTCTGATTATTTAATGAAAGACAATTCTTAGAGAAATCATGAGGACTTCCTGAATGTGCTGTCTGAAATGGAATCACATTTAAACGTTTTCCTCATACAAGATCATTTACACAAGTTTGAGCTTTCCAGAGGGCTTCTTCATGCAATTACAGCAAAAGGTTTCCAAACTGAAATATAGCAGCTGATGCTGAACGGAAAAATATGTTCCAAATTGTTGTGGTTAGTATAACAAGAGTGCCCTCTGTCGATGATGAACTCAGGATCAACCACTTGGGCATGAATAAAATATGTTTTGCTTGAAACATGTCAAATTAAGGATAACTGCCTCCCTCTTCCCACAAAAACTGATTCTGAAGTTAACACAGGTTTGAACTAAAATGCAAAAATTCCTCTTTACAGACAACCCATGGACTTCACAGAAATAATCAATGAAAAAAATAACATTGCTATAAGAAAGCATTTTACCTCTTCATAATAACGGAGATTATTCTCAGCCACATTAGTGAATGTTGATCTCATATCACACTGCATGTTTTGCTTCCACCTGTCCCAATCCGCTTTCAGAGCATTATTGGCACATTCGACTTTGTCTTCAAGTTTCCCAATCTCTTCTGAGAACTAAATATGAATTGTAAACGTTAAAAAATATTGGTAAAGTCACCATGTCAAAAGTAATTGAAATCAAGTGATTGTAGTGCAGACAAACAGAACTGCAGAACCAAGGTTGGTATGTAACAGCACAGAAAATCATTCCCCAGAGATAAATTGAAATTTTATTCTTAATGAATAACTCGGTACAATTTCTGAAATATTAGTAACAGAAATTCTAGACCAGAATTAAAGTGTTGCTGAAGATGTTTTTATTAACTGAGAAGTTACAGACTCTGGCACCTCATCACTAGCACTTGACAGTAATGCATCTAAAAAGGAAAATATAGAGGGCTTTACTGAAGCAGAATCAACTATACAAATTAGATTTGGCAAGAAAAACGGAGAAAACCCTGACAGAACCTTTGATAACCTCAGGAGAAACCAGAATGAGGAGAAGACAGCAGAAATCAAAAGCACAGACTTTCTGATTTCTTGCCTGTCACCTTGCCGTCTTGTGGAACTAACCTCTGTGTGACCATATGAGGGAGAGAGAAATACAGAAGCAGAGAAAGAAATTAAACCAGAGGACTTCTGCAGAGAAGACATTCTTTCACAGCAATCCAGGATCAAAAACCTTGAGGGCTACTCTACAGACAATATTTGCTTCTAATTACCATAGATGCACGAAGTGACTTTTCAGCTAATGGGAATGAGCAAGTGGACAGAGGCCCTCTCTCTAATGACTCTTCTAGTCCTCTCAATAATTTTGTTACCTATTGTCATTTACTAATCAGCTATGTGAGTTTTGGCTGGCACCCAGTCACAGAACGAGGTACATCTTCTGCAGCTACAGTGCAAATTCATCTGCTGGGACTGCACAGCGACTGTCTGCAGCAGGAGGGAAGTCAGGGAGAAACACCACCAATAAGGAACATCAAACAGGAAAAGTTAATCTTGCATTGTTTCCATTGCAACTCAGGTCCCATACACCTTCCTCTTCTTCCTTGTGTTCTGCTATCAGGCAAATTGTTTTTTCCTCGTATAACACCTCTGTAAAGTTGAACAGCTCCTCTTGCTCTCTGAAGAGCTGGTGCTTTCACTGATATGCACTTCAGGATTCCAGGATTAACTTCCAGGATTTTCAAGGAATGCTTACACTAATGGCAGAATGCCGAAATGTCAAAATTCAGAGTAGGGTGTGGAAAGTCTTGGTGCATGGCCTCCAGCTTGAACCATGCAGGAAGGACAGTGTTCCAGTGCAACAGCCAGCAGTACTGCCGCCATCAGACAAGAACCAAGCAGCGCTGCCTGAAATGGTCAAGAGAACCTGAGTCCAGTGTTTAATTCACCAACCATGGATCCCAATTCTGTTTGACATACTAGAATCCTGCAGCTTTTAAAGTAGCAAAAAACTTCTTAGCTAGTAAAACTGAAAATTTCATCTGAATGGATTTTCTCCACATTCCACAATACACAGATGAATAAACATTTTTAGTTAGACTTCATTTCTATCTACACTGATTTTCCTTGCCACATCATCTAGGTGAATGAAATACTGGTTATTAATCGAGAACAAAATGCAAAGTACTGAAAAGACCAAGTTCAATTATCTAGCCAGACCAGTAATCAAACTATGGACAAGGGTAATTTCAACTACCAACACTGTATTCAGTACGAAAAGGTTAATCCAAAGTTTAAATGTGGGGAAATTACCTTTAAAGTAATTACAGGCAGCTGGATTTGGTATCTTGGGCACGTCCCAAGTTAATTGCCTTTCCTTCAAATACCAAAAATGAATGCACACAGAATACTGAGAAGAGTGAATATTTTTAGATGATTTAGAGTAGGAAAGACAGTTGAATCCATTTTCTGCTTTTGCAAGAAAAAAGTCCCTATATGGGAATGAGCTAGGCTACACACATAAAGAACTTCTCCGACTTACTCCTGGCTGCAGCATCTTCCCCTTATCTCATTCTTCATATCTTTAAGACATTTATTTTACAGTTTGTTTTTGTCTTGCCTTTTCTAGGAACTACAGATTTCTTCCATGGTGTAGTCACAATGTGATGTGGACAGGCAGACTCTGTTCTACATCCCTGCCTGGATATGTATCACCCTCTAAAGCCCAAAAGAAACTGTGTGTTGTTATCAAGGCAAGGGTTGGACTTAAGGACTTAAGGTCTAAAGACAGCATTATGCCACACTTCATCTCAAGTAGAGAGGTTTGAGATCTACTTTTTCACAATTGAAAAGATACATAAATGCCACCCTCTTCAGCTGCCATGACAGCAGTCTTGGTCTCAACAAAAACATCTACCTAGTGTGTTCCTCATTTACAAGATGTAAATTGTTACAATTTATCTGGCAAACTACATATGATTCTGTATCCATTTTCTTACATTGATCACACTGAGGCAGCTAGTGTGATAAATTAACACTCACATCAGTGATCCCCAAAGAACCACAGCACAGTGCTAATCAGACATCGGACCATGGGACACGAAGGTGGGAGCCAGACACTGCTAGGGCAGAGCACTACCAGATGTGAACAGTGCGACCTGTAGCCAAAGAGACTTGGCTCAATAGCCAAATTACCTGGTAAGTGACACAGCATTTTACACTATCTCACTATGCAAAATAGCATGAATTTCTGTCTGCTACATGAATTAATCCTACAGCTTGGTGATACTAACCCTTTTTAGCCTGGAGTTAAAACATGAGATATATTCAAATATGACAGATTAACCATTTCATCTCTTTACTACTCAGTTTCAAGCCTGAACACTAGAATCCTTAACTTAACATTTAATGCTTATCTGGTTCTGTCAGAGCACATTACATCAACCTTTTGTCAGAATTACTGTTAGCACTAGTGGCAGTACCAAAACTGTTAAAAATTCCCAAACCACAGAGGGGTGCACTAGCATTGCTGTGTATACCTTCAGAACAGAGCATGGGAGCAATGGAGCTACACACTCCAACATCTTCACAGCCAGAGCTCTGGAGGTAAGAAAGGTCTAGATAAGTAGGAGAACACCAAAGTCCTCCCAAATATCTCTGTCAGAGCCTGCATCCAAAATCACAGTCTTCAAACCTTCCATACTCTGAACAACTGCCTTTGTGGACTAAATTTTAGAGTGGGAGACAAGGGTTTGGCTTTTTAGCAGCACCACAAGCAGCTTTCTAAAAGCCTGGTGGCAGAAGCACAGCTCAAGAAAACGTTTTTTCCCAGCCAATGAGCCCGACATCTTGTAAGGTTTAATTTGCGATTCCAGCCTATTTCAGCTGCAGTGACCTTGGAGATGTTTTGCATTCTCCTGCTGTATAACCTCCTGTTTGTTAAATCATTTAATGTCTGCCGTGACCAATGCTAAAGATCTCGCAGCCTTTCATAAGCTCTAATGACAGTCTGAGATTCCTTATCTATGGTGGAAATGTACTTCAAATGAGATTAGAGCTCATGCCACTCATTGTCAGCAGAATTTCGGGCTACTAGATTGCACTGACAAGTTCAATCTGACATCTATGAGATCATTAGAAGCTACATGAGTTCTGCTTAGGAATAGAAATATGCAAATACAGCCAAACTCAGTGTTTGACACTGATTCCAATAACAGTACCTGTGTTATGACCACTTTTTATTCTGAAATCAGTCTGGTTAGAAATGTCAGCAAAATATTTCAACACATAATAAAAAATAAAACATAGTAAAAAACTGATTAAGGAAACAGTTAAAAGTTACTTGAATGGTTAAAAATAGCAGTACACCATTCTCTGTAGTCAAACTATCATTAATAGGAAAAGCCTTCAACTTCTAATTAAGAAAAAGTCTTCAGGATACAGCCGTCACTCAATTAGAGAACACAGAATTTTATGATCAGATTAGACTAAGAGACATCTGCTTTACTGCTCTCATGAGACTGCAAGGAGAAGCAGACTCTCAGAAACAGGATTTTTTGCAATGAGTAAGAAATAGAGGCGTTGGAAAGATAAAACAAAGATCTGAACACCTGGGTAATCACACTGTCCAAAGGCTTTTACCAAAACTGTAAACACAGTTTTGGAAACACAGAAACAGTGAAAAAAGACCAGGTTGTGCAAACTGACCTCAAAATTTTACTGGAAGCAAGTACAAACATCTCATTATGGCGTAAACCATTGTCAATATCAAATCAACATGGTATGATCAATACTATGCTAAAGGAAAAATATTCCTTTTTGTCTGTAACAGTTGAGGAAAAGAGTACAGGCACCTTGTCTGAGGACTCCATCAGAACGTAACAGAAAGACATTCTGAAAAGACCCCGTCCTGCCAAGCAATGTTCTCTTCCCTACAGTGGACAGCAGTAAGACTAGCTGCTGAACAAGCTGTATGAAACTGGAATTCTTCGCTGAATCGCTCTGTGCAAATGCAACTGTTTTTACCAGGTTGCCAACAAACCAGACAAATGGGAAGTACTGATTAAAAGGGATGCAACGTTAAAAAGTTGATACAACTAGCTGCATACAAATAACTTACACAATGACATGTAACACTCCTTTCTGCCAGAATGAATTCTTAGAATCATAGAATATCTCAAGTTGGAAAGGACCCATAAAGATCATTCTTAACATATAGTGTGCTTTTACATGCAATGCAACTAATGCATACCGCTGGCACGTGAGGCACCCATGGCACAGGGTGCTGGGGACACGGGCAGGCTACGGGAGGACCCCACAGCAGGTCTGCCAGTGCCCTCACAAGGCAGCATGGGAATACAGTGGCCTGCAGCCAGCAGAGGACTAGGACCTGCCATTGCTACCCCAACGCCCAGCCTAGGGACCTTCTACAACTTACCATCCTCCTCGCACTTTACAAGAACTTCAAACTTTATACGTAAGCTAAGGACAAAGGACAGGAGAAGTGGCAGAGGAAGTAGAGAAACAAAAACAGATTAGAGAACACAAAGGCAGGGAAATGAGAGGACAATACAAGGTATAAGTAAAGAGAATTTCTACTTCAGGAAAAAACAAAACCAGAGGTATTTACTTACTGTCCCACTGCAGTACACAGAGGCAAATTGTTACAAAATATACTATAGCCATTATAGATTGATATCAGACAGTGGTAATATATTCTTATTTATTCAACTCAGTGACAAGAAATCAAATAAAAATATGCATTTCAAGTGCCAAAAACTATCTAAACAGCTCATCTTTACATGAAAGCTAATTACGACAACCCTATTAAAAGTATCTGAAATGTCAAGGACTTTCTCTTTTGATGTACTAAAAAGTTATTACTATTTAGTCATTTTTATATATTATTTACACTGTGTAACACTTTGTGTTAACACTGTGCTAAAAGGACATTATTTAGGCTGGAGAGTTAAAGAATCAAAAATTTTAAAAATGCCAATACCCATCCCAGAAGTTCCTTTTAATTGGCCCGCTGAGCCTTGCTGATGGTTTTGGGAATGCCTGCCCCCATGGGCTACCAGTTAAGCTCTGACTTCAGTAGAATAAATGAAGGTGTAATACTGGAATTAAAAAAATATCCCTGGGCCCAACCAGGTAAGACAGAAAACCTGAAAGAACAGAATCCAGAACTTTTTATTTTAAATAAGTTTAATGAACAGCTTTGCTCATTCTAACAACCTTCTCTCCCTCCTCTACATCAATGGAGCAGCAGCTACAAGACCACTGCAGCAAGTCTTACTTTCTTTTAACTCCCAGTGTGGAAGTAAACAGAAATGCTAAAAATAAGCTGTGGTACAGTCTGTGTTGACAAAACACAGCGGTCACCCACTATTACCAGTCCTTTGCTCCAGAAGCCTATCTACTGAAGTTCTGCATCTTTCTCACAATTACCTTTGCCTGGCATGCATAGCTACAAAGACCAAACCTTTTCAGAATAAGTATGAGAATTAGAGAGACACCATCCAGTTACAAAGCATGGCTTCAGAGGACACGCTTTCTACAGGGGATTGTCTTTTGCAGTTAGAAGTAGTCCTGGAAGATTTCAGCTTTCTGTACATACTCACCAGATCCTTTTCTGTTTTTTTATTGGCTAAAGCATCAACTTTGGAGTCAAGCTCGCCTTGAATTTGGTCTCTCCTTTTCAAAACACCCTTAATATAGAAGAGGAAAAAAAAGAAGTAAACTGCACCAAATTTTAGCCATCTATTCAGAAAACCATCAAACAACTTGGGTATTTAATAAATTAAGCAAGATCACAGAATGATGCCATTTAATGTTTTTGACATGATACATGTACTTTCCTCAAAAAAAAATCTTAAATTCATGAAGACTTATTTTTCAATACCTGTATTTTATCTTATGGGTTTTTCAAGAATCTTAGTAAATCCAAAATCAGTGCTGCAAGAATCTGCCATACACAGTATCATTGCTAGCTGTATGAGAAAAATTGCAACAGCAGTTTACTTAGTATCAGCTCAACTTACTATATATTCATATTTTAAAAAAGCAACATAAGTTTGCCAAATCTCATGAACAAGCGCCTTCTTTTGTAAAGGTTATAATATAGAGTAGAATAAATGACTAAAAATGGTATACCAGGCATTATTGAAATTGTGACAAATGCATTTCAAGTGCCAAAAACTATCTAAACAGCTCATCTTTACATGAAAGCTAATTACGACAACCCTATTAAAAGTATCTGAAATGTCAAGGACTTTCTCTTTTGATGTACTAAAAAGTTATTACTATTTAGTCATTTTTATATATTATTTACACTGTGTAACACTTTGTGTTAACACTGTGCTAAAAGGACATTATTTAGGCTGGAGAGTTAAAGAATCAAAAATTTTAAAAATGCCTCATCTGTAAAAGCACACTCAGGTGTGCTTATCTTGCAGAACCTTTGCAAGGCTTTAGTCCTTTTAAAAAAAAAATCAGAAGCAGGACATATATAGTTAAAAATCTCAAAACCTTATTTTACATTACCTTGCCACAACTGGTTTTACTGCTTCTTCAGCATATACTAAAGAGATTTTCAGTATTCATGTCTAGCATAGGGCATGTTGAAATAGCACAGGGCACAAGCACCTTTACCTTCTCTAGCTGTCTTATTTCAGTGAGTTCTCTTTGAAATCTTGTCACTTTAACAAATACAATAGAATAATTTAGGAGGTTAATTTTCAAATAATTTTTCAGTGTTTCTTTTTGAACAGGTACTCACTAGAAAAAATTGGTAAACCTGACTTTGGACAACTCTGAGTAACAGATTAGCAATACATACTAATGCTCATCAATCTACATTTCAGTAGCGCAGAATATTTTTTGGTTAGATAAAAACACAAAATGTTTAGCTGTAAGCACAGAAGCAAAACAAATATGTCTGGAACAGCTTTCTTTCATATTACAAATGCTTTCTCTTTTTTATTATTTCTTTTGCCTCTTTTAAAACTGTTTTAATGACTATTTGGCAACTTTTATCACAAATAGTCCTTAAATTACAAGATAAAACCAATTATTTTAATATCAACTTACTACAACTATAAACAAGTGCTGACTTCTAATGACAGAGGGACTGTGTTTTAAAAACATATTATTATACTTTTACGATTTTTTTGTGTAATATTTAATGGTACCCTGCCACAAAACCCTCAAATAATCATAGGCGGACCCATAACCAATTTATTGCTGCAATTTGTACCCTGAGGCACAGCAGTATTTTGCACTCTCCAGATTTGTTCTGTGAGTCAGTTAGGAAGGAGCCAGTCCAGTTGTAAATATTTTAGCTATGAATTAATCTCTTTCCCCAGTTTAAGGCTGAACTCCCAAGACTGGAACATACAAGGATTGTATTGTATTGACTACACTTTCTTCTGCACATTTGCGCATGATCTTGGCAGCACCGCACAAAGGTCCCTGTCATGAGGGGTTAAACACACCTCTGAAAGCAGGTTTTACTAGTGTGTGACTTCCCCTATTGTATTTTTAGTGTAACTAGTAGTGCCCTCTCCAAACTGCAAAGGAAGTAAGCTATAGGAAAAACAAAAATCCATGGCGAATGAAAGGAAAGGAACAGTTGTAGAACAGGAATGAGCTAGTGGAGGAAGATTTCCTCTGGACAGGACCTCGTGGCAGCCTAATGCTGTGTTGCAAGTGTTGCATCAAGAACAGTGCAAGCAGAAAAAAAATGCAATGGGCAACAGCTACTTGTAACGTGCACATGAAGAGCCAGGTAGTCACTCTGGGCTTGGTCCACAGAAACCTCTCTGTGCTCAGAACACCTGAGAAGGGGCGAGCCAGGCTGCAGACTAGGAGGCAATGGGCAGGCAGCATCTCTTCAATAGCATGAAGGCTGGGATCACTCATGTGCAACAGACTTAGAAATTCCAAAAAATAAGTGTGGACGTGGGGGAGAAGAAGAAGACCTGCAATTGCTAGGACGGTAGTCTCTTCAGACCTTTAAGCAAAGCAGTACCTAGCCCCATCTACCTGCATGTACATGTAAATAATGAGGTCTGTGAGATACAGGACATTTTGTACAGCCCCTCTTTTAGTGAAGCTTGTTTTAAAGACAGCAGTCATTGCAGCAGTAATTCTTAACCTCTTGGTAGCTAAGCCTTACTGAGAAACTGGCAATGCTCTGCACAGTGCCAGCAAAAGCTCAGTTAACTTGCTCTACCCATGGCCTGTAACATACTCCCTGCCCCTACTCAGAAACCACTGCAGTAGGAGCTGGGTTCCCAGCAGTAAGGCAAGAACAGATACTGCAGCTTGCATTGCTCAAAACCTAGACAGAGCGAGGTTTGTACATATTTTCTGCTTTCTGGAGGCAGCAGAGTAGGAATTACGACATGCTGAATTCGGTTACTTAATTACGTTGATTATCCATCGGCACTGAGTTTATCAACTCTGTAGTCACATTTTTTACATTCTCTCCAAGTGTAAGAAAATACGTACATAAAGGGAACTGAGAGCATCAGCTTATGGCAAAGACTAACACATGCTTATATAATGGCACAGGGACTGGAAGTTCCCTGCTGTTCTGGAAAAAGAAAACACAGTTTAGGAACATCTCCTAGAAAAGGAAAAACCTCTCCACTTCTTTTCCCCCACACAATCTGTTACTCAATGAGTTCATATTTCAGCAGTGTCAGAGGTCTTTCTCAGCTGTTGTTCCCCAAACCTTTCTGTGTTCCTGCCTCTCTGCTACAATGCAGAGCTCTCTGAAGATGGCAAAACCAGACATTCTTCAGCGCAGCTACCAAGGGCTGCCTGCCATGCAAAACTATCAAGCTCTTCTCATGTGGAACGGGCATCTCTTGCCTGATTAGCAAGGGAAACAGGACCAGCCGGATTCCCTGCTAACAGACAGCTATCCTATGCTGTGCACGTTTAATAACAACAGTAAATAGAGGGACTGCAAAATAATTTTCATCAGTTACAAATTCTCCTCTAGAGTTTGTCACTGGACTAAGCCAAATTTTATATACAGCCATAAGCAATCCTTAAGGAAACCTTACCATCAGAATTTCACTGTAGAGAACATATTCATGTAAAATCGGTAGCAGGTTTTCCGAGAGCCCTGCCATTCGCTTCTCCGTAGCCTTGCAACACTTGTCGATGCAGCTGGCAACACCTTTTAGGGAGTCTGCTATATCTTCTTCCGATGCTGACCAGAGTGTGTGAATGGGGCCATATTCCTTCATTTCATTAAAATACTCTTAACAGGAACATATACGCATATTACTCTTTCGTTTATTAATAGATGTCCAAGCGATACTAATTGCAACCTCATATTTACTGTGAACAAAGCAAGAGACTGAGGCTAATGTTTAAATTTGGTCAGATGACCAGGATAAATAAACTGCAGTTTATTGCTTATGAATAAACTAATCAATTAATGTATTGTAATTAAGTAGTTCCTAGAAATCTATCAGCAAAAATGTCCCAGTCATTTCAAAAGCACACACATAGTCGGGTAGACCTGAAGAGTTGTATTCAGATCACTCAATGACCTGAATTACTTCACATTGTCTTCATACAGAGGGACAGGAGCCGTAGCAGCCCTGGGCAGCAGTCAGTCTGACTTGCTTCTACTGCCCTGAATTCCTCTGCTACAGTAATGCTCTGAATCCTGTCTCAGTTATTAAAACTAGCAGCCTCAGTATGTCCCAAAAGCTTCAGAAGACACACTGAAGTTCACTCCAGTTCTGTGGGTGTTATCTCCTTTAGTAGTTTTTATTAATCTAAATAAAGGGGTATCCTGCAAATCATTTCTCTTATGTCTCTAGGCCAAGTGATAATCTGTAAGCAGAAAGAAGGTCCAGAATTCACTGTGCTGTTTACTAGGGCTAAACTTGGGCAAGGCTGGATATGACCTGGGAGCTGCATGTTCACAAGGGGGTACTGTGAATGCATTGGTCATGTACTGAAAACACAATTTCATCACAACTGAATTTATAATGAAGAAATGTCTAAGAAAAGATGCAAAACAGCCATGTGGCATGAAGAATGTAATGTTTACTTTGAGATTAATTGGACAAAAAAAACCTCCATGGAAGATATAATTAAGAATCCCATGTTAAGCTACTTCTAGCAGGAATGTTCTCTGAATCACAGCTATCAACAGTTCATAGCCACAACAGTGCGGCCCTGCACACAAGAGTTCTGCCAAGTGCTATTTGGAAACTCTAGAGAGAAGATATAACCTACAGCATTTGGGAGCATGTCAAAATTCTTAAGGTTTTCCAAGAAATATTTTGGCGCTGATGGCTTGAACCTGTGGACCTCAGCCAGCTACTTCCACTGAAATGAACGATATCAAAAGGAACTCTTCACCAAGAGGTATTTTGCTTTTATAAGGCCCCTCCAATTTAGAGAGGACATGCTGAGATCTGGTACTGCACAGTAAAGCACAAGGGCTCAGTTATTAGAGAACACAGTGCAGCTCTTCAAATTATATTAATATAGACAATAAAATCCCTCAAGTGCTGACCAGTGGAAATTCTACTGAACAGGCCTAGTCTGAGATCAGGGTCAATCTCAGAAAGTCAGTAATTTAGCATTCCAAGTAGGTGTGCAAACTGCTGTTACTTAAGACAAAAACTGAGATCAGGTCATCCTTCTTAAGAAAACTCTAACAGGCACAGTTTCCCATGACAGAAACTATGGCCAACAGTAAAGCTATTAAAAAAAATATTAAAAACTACTTGGTCAACATGGAAAAAAGGTGCAGAATTAAACAAAAAAAGATGTTTAGAAATCTGGAATCTAGACAGCATTATGCCAGTATGAGACAGCACAGAAAACTCTTGACTATTTACATTCCACTGAAAGTACAAAACAAAAGGTCATACAGCTTTTCAAAAAGCACAACTAAAAAGATAGCCATACTTGCTACGTTTTCTTCTAAGTTCCTTATCAAGTAGTTCAATTACATGTTAAAACTCTTCCTATTAACAAGTTATTCAAACTAACTTGAAGGTCTGCCAAAACAATGACCATTATGAAAAGCACAGTATAAACACAAATATCCCTTTTTTTCTGCTTGCTGGAAAGAGTATTTTGCCTGGCACAATGAAAACTAATTTACTTTTCCAATATATTAATTTCTTAATCAATAAAACTGATACATGTTTTCTACTTACCCCTTTCTTCCTTGTAAATTCTATGAGCTATTTTGTCTAGTACATTTATTTTCTGACTAAATGTTTCCATGTAATCATTCATTTCTGTAAACGTTTCAGGACGATTTTTAACTCCCCCTCTTACTGAAGATGCTACAGCTCTGACGGTCTGTCCCATCCTGCTCAGCAAACCGGGACCCTGCTTCTTGTGTGAGGAGAGTTCCTAAAGACAGAACAAGCCATGTTTACTTCCAAGGACTTTTTTAAATTCTCTGAAAATGCATGCTTTAAAGCTTTTTTTTTAAAACCAAAACTACATACATAAGCCTCTGTGTGTATTTCTAGTGTATAAATCTTACTTTAAAATTATTAGACCAGTGTCAGAACCATACCTGTCGTGTACATTTATTAGCTAAGGCTTTCTGGGCAAACACAAGCATGCCATGTATCACGCTCTCACAAGAACAATTAAAGATGGCAGAGAACCTTTAACCTTTCATTCTTTAGGGTGAGATACCTAGTTTGCAATTTTGCCTTTTGAACAGGAAAGCAGAGGTAATGATTTCAGAAATAAGTCATTGAGAAAAGCAAACAGTGTTCCCACTGGAAGAAGTAATCCATCTATTTTTTTTGTAACTCTTTTTATATGTTGCTAGAATAACTTTTGCTGAAGTTCAGAGGCAGGCTTTTCTGACTACAAAACTCTAATTTTCAACTGGACACATCTTGCAAAAATACAACAGGAAATTGAAAGGCTGTATTTTTCTTTTATGCGACTAGTATAACTTTTTTTAAAAAAGCAAATGAAAAAGACAGTGCCATGCCAAAACAATAATTAATTTAAAATACTACTTTTCATATAATCTTGGAAGCTTATATGTATACCAAAAAGCATGCAGAGTTGAAGTATTGTGAATTCGCCACAAAAATCCAAAGTGCAGCAATAAAAACTGCTTTGGAAGCTACATCAATATTTATGGCCACATGCATGATGACCAAAAGCACAGAAGAAAAGGTTATTTCGGGGGATGAATATTCCATAAATCCCCTGCTGCCTTCTGATACTTCTGTAACGAGCCATGGGAGGACGCTATTGAATGCTGAACCAGGGAGACTCCTGATATACTCTACTAACACAAGACAGCGTTTCACATAACTTTAAATAAATAAAAAAAAGTCATTTTACCCAGGCCTGCGCAGTAAGAAAAATTTTGAAGTCTTCATTAAAAGTTAAAGTTGGATGATCAGCAATACGGTTCAAAAATTTATGTAAAGCTTTTCTTCGAGTCTCAATGAATTCATCACTAAATCGTTCCACCATTCCTTTCATTATGAATTTTTCAGGCAATGGCTAAGGAAAAAAGAAGAAATATTTTGTATAGTTTGCATAATATTGGGGGGTATTATAATAGTTCTTCTACTTACTAAAAAACAAAGGTATACCTTGTAAAATCCATCATGCAAAAAACTGTTATAAAGTTATCATATTCAACAGTGCTATAACACGGTTCTTGTAGCATACAGTGCAGAAGAATACAAGTACAACTAAGAAAGAAGGACATAAATTACTGCTAATTACTGCAAATGACACAATTACAAACATAAGAAATACCTTTATGGAATTTTTAATTATCACATACATATAAAGCTAATGAAAATAGGTTGGCTTAATGTTTGTGAGACTTCAGAAACTGAAGAAAGACCTCAAACATCTCTGTATAAAACTGGAGCCATCTTTTAAACAAATAAGAATAACTTAAGTTTTAGCAAACGAACAGGAATAATCAGTGTCGGATGTGCTGCTTCAAGTTTGCTCTTCAACCAAAGGAAATCCTGATATCGTCTTCGAACTTCATATTCACTGGAGTCAAATTCACCACGAGAAGTCTGAAAACCAGAGGCAGAAAAACCAGGCCCAGGTTAGAATACCAGAAAAAAAGAACAAACTAGTTTTAGATCTTGGAGAAAACTGACTACTTGAAGGGAATGCATACATGATTCTATTTTGCCTGTGTTATTTGCTTGCTGTTTTTCAAAGTGCAGTGATCAACTACCTGAAGAGAGAAAACGCATCCCATTTTAGCAAGAAATCAAAGTTCTCTTCTAGAAAAAAAAAAGCAAGCACTAAACTGCACACCGAGTGACTGATAATACCACTACCACAGTGTTTCCAAAAGATTTCAATCATTATTTTAGTGTGGCATTTTCCTTTTAGCAATCACAGTTATGTTCATCCCTTTTAGGGCACTTTTAAAGTGATTAGTAATCTACGAGCGAGGAAAGTCCATTTTTTAGCATTCTGAAAGAAAAACCAAATAGCTGACATAAGTCCTTGGGACCTGCTGACACTAGTCAAAAATCCCCACATTCAAAATATGAAAACTTCAGCATATCATAGCAATAACACTTCCTGTGCTGCTTAATGGATTCTGCGTTCTATCATCAATTCCAGTTTTGTAGCCCTTTGTTAGAACTTGCCAACAAACCTTTAATGCCTAGAAAAAATGCTTATTAGTGTTGCGAAATTGTCAGACCATGAGATTTATTTTATCGCTGCTCTATCTTCTAGAATCAAGCCACAAAGAACCCATGTTTTCATTAAAGTAATGCACGTTGTTTAGCATTCATTGTTGCACAGAGATTTATAACGCAATGCAAGTAAATTCTAAAAACCTCAAAACACGCTTTTGTAATCTACACATTTTTGAGGGTTGAATAAAAATTTTTCAAGGTATGTGGGAGGAATGCTATTACTTTATCATCAACAACCAGCACTTCAAATTAAATATGATAAGAAAGGACAGAACAGATAAAAAAGGAAAAGCAATCCACCTTACAGCCCTTCCATATGTACCTGAAGAAAAAATGTTCTCTCGTCTATAAAAACATGTATGAAGTGAAAATTATTGCTAGCAACCTAACGAAGATAGCTCTCTTCCTACTCTTTAAATATTTTATGAGGAATTGATATCTCCTCTTATTTAAGGATGAGTAATTCCCATTTGAAAATTTGGTTTTAAATTAATCTTTTAAAAAGGACTCAAAGTAAAATAAATTAACAGTGCAATTCTCAAAATGCAGCCTGCAGAATATTTGCTGGTAATCCCAGAAGAGCTGGCTAGTCTCACAAGGCTGACTTTCTTCCTTATTTCCAGTAAATAAACTTGTATTCAGGACAGCTAAAAATATACTTAGTTGTTTCCCAATATTACTTTTTAATTGGAGAACTGTGGCAGTTTCCCCAGAAATCATATGCAACTGTAAGTGGGAAACCAATGTCCACGTGATAGTAGATGCTGTAATTACAAAAGAATGGAACTGAAACACTTTGTAGCAGGTAACATTTATGGAGGACAAAAGACTGCTAGCCTGCAAGTGATCCAAAAGTCATAAATACTTAGGCTATTATAGTGTCTTTGAACTGAATTGGTCTTTCTGCTGTTTCATATTCCTGCTGAAGATCACAATAGAAAATGTTATTCTCATATAGAACTGATTTGGCTGTTGAAGAATTATTAGCTATTTTCTCAGCATAAAAGCACCTATATGTGTAGACTTATACTGATTTTTTTTTCAGAACCTACTGCACAGTTTCCTACAGTTTTAGTGGTCTATAACTCATGGCAAAATCAGAGTATAATTTAAATTTAGTAATATCCCAGAGAATGGTATGCAAGAAGAGTGAAAATGCTACTACTGTTATCAATGTAAGCCATTATAGCCATGAGTGGATGCTTACCTTTGTGACTACTCTGTATGTAATAAATGTTTCGATGGCTGTAATGTGGCTTTCAGGATCATCGACTGTAATGAAAAGATCTCTTAATTCTGGTTCATCTTCAAATTTATACTGGTTTATCATTGATGAGGGGGATATTGGCATTGAAGGACTGAATGAGTTTACCTCAGCCAGTGATGTATCCTACAGAAAAGACATGAGAACATCCATATCAATAAATCTTTATATACAAACACATACATGCAAACACATATGTCTCAGATGCTAAAATGGCAAGCTTTGAAATAGTCCGGTAAAACAGATAAAACATAGAGCAGATGAAAGAATTATATAGTACATGGCAAATCTATTATCCTTTTCAGTATTTGCTTCAGTGAGGATGTAAGAAATAAGAATGAGATTTATTCTAAAAGTGATGAAAGAGCAAAATGCTACCATTTGACAAGAATGTTATGCATAGCTGGAAAGACAACTTGCCTATGAATGCTAAAATTAGTTATGAATCCAAGCACCCAGTAATTGTGTAGGATACTTACCAGCTTTATTAAAATTGTTAGAAGCCAGTTACCCAGGACTTATGAAGTTTGAATTATCTCTAAAATCCTGAACAGGGTGGATAAAAATGATGAATTTAAAAGAAAACAAGACAAAATCCAAATGAGAATTTTTATTGGACTTGGATATTTCAGTTTGCATAAATTTTAAAATAAAGTTTGAAATGGAAAACTTTTACAGAGACATAAATTTAATCTTTTTAAAAGAAAAACCAGTAAGTAAGAATGCAGTACAAATTCATTGTTTAATTTCTAAAAAAATTCAAACCACTGGTTTGTTGAAGTGGAAAACCACTTTTTGATAGCATCAACCACAGCTCTCTAAGAATATGCCCCCATAGCAGCTGCTTCTGCTCAGTGTGTTCAACGGTGATCACTCAAATGCTGAGAAACTGAGTGGAAATTAGAAATGGGCAAAAAATCTCATTTTCTTTCTTAGATGCAAGTCTGGATGAGATCTACTAATCTAAAATCTTGGAGGATACAGTGACTGGAAAAATAAATTAAATTCACTAACACCATAAAAGAGCATAATAAATGAATAAATCACTAAAAATAATAAATTTGGGCAATTAAAATCAATCACTGTTTTAAATATCAAACATCTTATACACTTTTCCCAATATTTCCAATGCAATGAAGTATTTTTATAACAAACTTTAAAATTAATCTGTTTTCTAGAAGTTTTCTAGAAGTGTAGTTAGGCTACACTACCAAGTGGCAAAGAGTTGCCCTTTCCAGTGCGCCTCACTAACTATGGAGCAAGGAGAAAAGGGATGTTGCTGAAGAGAAAACTGCTCAAATGGCAGAAGTGGAAATGTGGGAGTCCACAGAAACTACGGACACGGCATCATCCCAAGGCCGGTCTCCTGGGAGTGAAGAGCATACCACCGCAGTGCTGATTGGTGGTGTTGCTTTTTTTCCTTTGAATTCAACTGGATCAAAACTTTCTCTGGAACAGATTCTCCTCTCTTGTTCTTTTCCTGCCTTAAAACCTCATTGCCTACTGCCATCCCTCTCCTTTGAGTTATTCAACGTACTCTCACAAAGATGGAGTAGAAATTTATATTGAGAATTATGCACAGAAAGCAGTGATGTACCAGTTCTCCTCCCATCACTTAGGTACAGTTCTTAGAACAGGGAGAGAAAAGCAAGATGGAAGACTTTAAATATTATATAGCTGCTTACTTGTACACCTGTAAGTCATTTTATTTTTACTCAGTGTGTTCCTATACATGATTTTCTGTACTGGTATCCAGCGAGCACTGTCCTGAGTGGTGGAGGATAAATAGAGAAGCTGTTTTCACTGCCCGCTAGCACTAGCTGGCCATGCTCTACATGAAGAGTGAGGACCACTTGTTCAGAGCAGCCCATGCGATTCAAAGCACTGAGACAACAGGAAATTTCCAGGGAAAGAAAATGCATGTGAGCATGTAAGGGACTTGAACGGCCATATAACTTGAGGAATAATGACTCTGCAAGGCCTAAATTGGATCAAGGCAAATGTGTTTCCTATTTTCTCATTTTCCATGGGTCATTAATACCTTAATGCTGCATTCCTCCTTCTAGGTTGCTACTAAAAATTGCTCTATGGGCAGGTTTCTGACAGTATATTTTTATATGGAAGGGCTTATGAATATGTGGTTTGTGAAATAAAACATGGGCAATAAAAATCCATAGAATAAGCAGGTCTTCAGTTCCGTTGCAATACAGCTCTAGTGTTTATCTGCACATGAATGAATGCATGTGAGTTTTAAACAAGTATCTGTTTCTCTTTCTTTATCCTCATGATACTTCAGGTTTACTTCCAACAGTTCTTGAAGTTCGTGTGACTTAAGTCTGATGTCCTCACAGAAACATGGTAAAAAAGATGATAATTTTCTATTTTATCTACAGCTGTAATTTTGTGGTTGGAACTATGTTTTTGTGTGCATACAGATGAGGGCAGGAGTTTTGTGGCACAGAAAAAACAGACAATTCTTCTAGATCTTGGGTTGTATAACTTAAAAAAAAAACAACTTTTTTCCTCTTCACCCATGCAAAGAGGTTCAAGGTCCTGTCCCAGATAATGGTAACTTTTCCCACACCTCCCCCAGCCCCACCTACCTGCGGTACGCCTTCTCCCTTCCAAGCACTTTCACTACTGACAGCAGTCAGCAGAGCTGTGTGTGCCAATCAGCAAATAGGTTCATGCATTTTGATTTACTGGCCAGGAGACGAAACAGAAAATCAACGTGCTCCTGGCAGCATGAGGGCCTTGTTCTGGGTCTCCTTCCTCTAATACTTGCACTTACCCTATCTCACTCTCACATTTGGCTGCAATTTGACTTCAAAATAAATAAGGGAAGGTAAACACTCATACAGCAGGAACAGCCTCAAAGTAGGCTGAGCACACAGCTGAGCCTGCAGGTCTCTGTAGAAGACATCAAGTCTGGGGGTTTGCCTAAACACCACTCCTCCCCAGAGCACAGATCCTGATTCAGGGTTGCCTCCATGCCTCATCCATCCATCCTTCCCTCCCAGCGAGGATCCAGAGCCTGCAATCTTCTGAGGCCAGGGATCCAAACCAGGTCTGGAGATAAAGAATGTGGTGGCAGAGTTTGTCTTACAAGAGAATAGCTTAGTTGTTGGAGCATTCTTCAAAGAAGCAAAGAGATTCAGGAAGACAGAATAGTTACTTGGGCAAAAAATTCACTTACAAATCGGTCTCAAATCCTTGATCAACTCGTTTTGGAAGAAAAATTAGCCTCTATGCAATTCTGAAGTGGCATGTATGTCTTTTCCAGAAATACCATTAATTAAGTTTTCTGTAATTATGAAGTGAAGACAAACGCTGTAAAACAGAGTTTGAAAGAAGAGCTACTAAAGTTTTTAAGTATTAACTGAAATGCTGACAGCTTAGTCAATGCCAGGTCACCGTATCAGTTAACAAGGAAGACAAAGATTAACTGAATGGGTATTGCAATACATGTGGTACTCTATACTTTGAAACTAATGGAATAAAGCAGGTATTTGGTGACTCATAACTCAGTCCCCAGAAGTTGTCTCTGCTAAAAAGACCTCAGAACTTTTTCCATGGTAACAGAAACTAGGATAAAGTGAAATGCAAGTCACATCATGAAATGCTTTATCAGAGTTGCCAAAGAAGATGCTAGTCTGTAACATTTGAGATATGTCACAGGATGCCGGGTCAACGGTTTATGACAGTATTGGGTTAAATGTCTATGAATTTTCATAAAATAAAAGCCCCGTGTTTACATCTTGAGTAATAACTTAGGGTATTGAAGTTGACAATTTTTAAGAATCTCATTTTTCACCATTTTGGTAGCTGGTACATTTCATTGACTAAACTGAGAAAAATGAAGTCGCTGTCAGTGTCAGACACCAAGCACTGTGCTGCTGCTGCTGTCCCGCTTGGCCTGCAAATGCTATACCACTACCTTAAAGACAGTGGTGTGAGAAACCCCATTAAGATAAAATTTAAAATAAGGTGGTCCTGGAACAGTACGTTATGAAAAAATTGGGTTTACAAAACTGAAGTCTGAAGCTACATTTAGTCTGTCAGTTTCCCTCGAATATATGGAACATGAACGAATGGGGTGTAATCCCAAATCAACCTCACAGATTTTCATCAGCTCAAAAGATCAGCCCTCAAATTGCACCTGAAAGCAAACTGTGAATTTCTGGTCTGTATATAACCACTAAATGCAGGTGTCCAAGCTTTGGAAAGAATGCTGTATTTTCACATAGTACAACAAATTTTCTTGTTTACAGGAATAAGTTATCATGTGGCATGCATTAATCATAGTTAAGATTTAATATAAGTATGAAATATTTGGCATGAATGCAGGTAGCAGAAATTTAAAGATATAGATATTTGCCATATAGCAGCGGTAACTCGTATCAACTACACTTGTTCTTATTTTTTATTCCCAAGGAGCATCTCTCGACAAGCGAGCAGTATAACTGTTGATACACTGTATTGATAGGCACATACCTGCATGCAGAACTGCCTGAGCTTACCTAGTAAAAGCAAAAGGATTCAAAGTATGAAACAAACAACTAAAATTATATTTTAGCACTGCTTTTGCATGCAAGTTCAGTGAATCATTCATCTCTTTATGTCAAATCAAGACTGGTGCTTTTCTAGAAAATATGATACAGCTAGACCCTAGTTATGCTTCAGAAAAACACAAATAACTTGGTGAAATTTAGCCTGACCTCTTGCATGTTAGAGACCATTAAATCACCTAATAGTCCCTTCTGGCCTTAAAATCCATGAATTTCAAGAATTTTACTACAGTCAAAGATAAATATGTAGCTCCTAAGAATGAAGCTCTTATTCCAATGTTTTTACTCATGCATACCAAAAAATGCATCTCATTTACAGAAATATAAAAAATACATATCTAATTCATATGACAATCAGTCCTACTGAAAAAACATCTGGTGTCACATTTTCAAACAGGAAACATATCTGCTGTTTTCTCTCCAATGTCACACATCCTGTCACATAGCAGTTCAGAAATCTCAGAAGGTGAGCAGGGCCTTAGCCCCCTATATGTATTTTTTCCACTTTAGCTCTCTGTATGTCCTTACATTGTATTTTAGATGCTGCCTTGGTAAGACCGACAGATTGATGACATGCTCTCTTCTTTAATGGCTGAGAAGGCAAGAGGATAAGTCTCACCTTAACCAAATCAGTATGAAGCGAGAAACAACATACGTGGTAGCCACACCGGACTTCATTGGTTTAACTGAAATCAGCAATATCGGCAAGACTGGCGCCCATGTACCTAGCTAACTCTGTGTGCTTGCAGAACGTGGACCCTCATATATTGTCAGTTACATTCATTTTATTCCCTTCATCAACATACAGATGTTACCTTCTCAAACATCCTATGTGAAGGTGCTAGGCTTCCCTTCATCTTTTGAAAGAAAACTCGAACTGAAACTTGGAAATACTTATTTGTATTTAAATACAACTGCAATTACTAAATACGACTGTTAATTTACAGACAGATACGTGGTCCACGACAAACATGATGATAAGGTTACGACGAGCCCACATTACTTTGCAAATTTAAGGTTAGAGCAGTTATGACTTGCACAGCTTGTCTGCAGCAGCAACCCCCCCTTTTCGTGCCCAAGGAGAGGTCACCAGCGGCTCCGCTGAGCGGGCCGGGCTGCCTGTGGGCGCGGGGCTGCCTGGGGCAGCGCTCGGCGGCCCCCGGAGCCCCGGGGGACTTCTCCTTGGGGAGCAGCCGACAGCCGGACCTGCCCGGCCCAGGCGCTGCAATGTCCGGGCGCGGGGAGCGGAGGCTGCCCGACCAAGCGCGGGGCAGGCGGGCAGAGGCCGGGCAGAGGCCGCGATCGCCGCCCGGGGCGGGGCCGCCCCGTCCCCTCATGTCCCGTCCCGTCCCGTCCCGTCCCCGCGCGCCCGGCGCACAGCAGGGCGAAGTGCCGGCGAGCGAGGGAGCGGCCAGCAGCCCGTCCCGGGCGAGGCGCGGCCCGACCCGACCCGACCCGGGGAGGGGAGGGCGCCGCCGTACCTTGCTGAATACCTCCAGGTCGTCCTCCTCATCGTCCAACGCCAGCACCTCGGCGGCGGCGGCAGCAAGCAGCGCCCCCCGGGCCGCGCCAGGGGAACCCGCGGGGGGGTCGGGGTCGGCCTCGGCCTCTCCCCCGCTGCCGAAAGAAGGCAGGGGGAGCGGCGGCCCCAGTACCCGGCCCTCTGTCTCCATCCTTCCCTGCGAGTGCGGGCGACGGCCCCGCCAGCCCCGCTCTCGGGGGGCCCGCAATTGGCCCCCCGCCGCTCCCCCG